ACATTTTGTATAGGTATAGTTAATAAATGATGCATTGTTATTTCATACAGGGCCAAAAAGAGCAGTCTGTTATCCTATTTAACAATCTTGTTTTTTGTTTCACCTGGTGACAACTTTAAACATGAGCTGATCACTCATTAAAACAAGGTCCGGAACAGGGCCAAAAAAACAGTCTTGTACCCTATTTAATCGTCCATCTTGTTTTTTCGCTTCACCTGGTGCCTTAACTCACAAATTCTTGTGTTAATGGATTTTCTTATATCTGATGTCTTGGTCCCTGGATGGTGGTTTACTACAGCATCTGTGGAACAGAACAATTACAAATAATTAGAAGTTCACAAAAGACAGCAGGAATTATAACAATATCCATAATATCTATATTAAAGCATGGGCTGGCTTGGTGAATAATGTGGGAATGCAAATAGTGGAAGAATAGGCTTTGTACATTTTCGTCTGAGTGTGGCGCTACTGGTTGGTATATTTTATGGAATTTGGACCAAGCATCTACATCTGTAACAGTTCTGTTTAAAACTTTTTTAAATGTAATTGCATTCATCTTTAAAGGTGGGGTAGGTAAGTTTGAGAAACCGGCTCGAGATACACTTTTTGTTATATTCCATGGAATGCTCTTAACATCCCGATAGCAATGAATATCTTAAAAATCCATAAAAAAATGTCATCTGTGGAAGCCGTGGTACTGTAAAAAGTACGACCAATCATTTTAGCTGGCCCGGCTGAAATGACTGGATGGCCTACCTGCCTGTCAGCCTTCCATCTGTGCACAAACTTATCTCATGCCCTCATTGGTCATGTGCGCGTTCGTGTGTGTTGGAGGAGGGGCTCTGTAAGGAAGTGGCAGATTTTTTTCCGGCTGTGTATTTTCAAATTCTAGCGCACTCAAGCTAGTTTCTCCAAAATGACCTACCCCACCTTTAAAAGACTACTTTTATTGAATGAGAGTTTTACCTAGCACAATGAGCCTGGGGTGGTGGGAAGGGAGAACTGGGCCTCGGCATCCGCAGGAGTTGTAGTCGCCTATGAGTATTAGAATTTAGATGAACAAAGGCATAGAAAAACCCTGAAATATGTACTGACACAAAGCTACGACCCTCGATTTTGTAAGTAGTAGTAGTAAATACATACGTATATACAATATACAACAATACGCATAGTGCAATTAGCAGTACCAGTAATAAAATAACTGAATAAATAACTAAGCTGAATAGTGAATAAAGTGATATGTGAAAAGTAAAATTACAGTGAAATTAAATGACAGTGCGTTCCTCACCACTGCGATCTGGCTCCTCTGTCCTCGTGTCTTTTGGGTCTGATTCCTCACTACTGACGTCTGCCTCTCGGCTTGGGCCCTCTCTCCTTATTTCTTCTGCCTCAGTCACCACTGCTATCTGGCTCCTCTGTCCTCTTGACTTGTGGTTCTGCAGGCTTATTTCAACCTATGAATTTCAACAATGCTCCTGTAAAATATATAGATATAGTATTATGGGTCAACATTAAAATAACATAAGAGAGCAAAATGTGAAATTCCATTGACTGTAGGCTACATATTATCCACACAATTGTCAGCAGGGGCAATAACAACTAAGATGTGAACTAACTTGAATGCATTAGTCCACAACACATAGCCTAACTAATGTTAGCCTACATAGTTACTAACATCAGAACACATAGACTAACTGTGGTTACATTACTTAACTAGCTCATCATCTTCACCAGTCAGAAAATGTCCGTTAGCCGCGAGGCTAGCTTCCGCTATGTTAAACTCCATTGACTTATGCTAAAATGTTAGCGATCTAAAGGTCCGCTATTTTTGGCTGTTTTGGGTCGACTTCAGTTGACTGTAACATCGAAAATCTTCTAAATTGAATGTTCACAAAGTTGCGCACCGGTTATACACTTATACACGAGGGAACTAACATAGCTCATTTAACTAACGTTAGCTAATGTAGCTGTTGTAGTGCCGAGAGACGGGACATACGGATTAAGGAACTAGACTACTTGTAGTGTACATGCAGAATTATTTCAATTTAAAATAGTTTTAAATGCTCACACACATACCTGACTCTCGTGCTGTATTTTCCTCTCGTTTCTTTAAAATGTTCCGTTTCGAAGCACCTGATGAATGCTATCTCTTTGACAGAGCCATCATCAACAGACAGAGGCGGCAACGCACATTTGAATCTGCCAATCAGATCAATCTATTGCTGGAGAGGGGGGGGGCCCTCCCCGAAATCTGTGAGATTGATTGGTGATGATCACTGGCACGTAATGTGTCCAATGAGAACGTTAACACGTTTTAGAGAGTTATAACAAATATTTGTTTAGCGAAGACGGAGGTCAGCCACTGTCAGCCGGAAGTGGCGCATTCGATTACTGTTTGGGCTGTCTGCCGTGGATGGGCTGCATTCCACTCCAAATAGCCGGTCGGCCGTAGCCAGAATCCAAACGCAAGCTGTTTTATGGATTCTCATTTAATTTCCAAGAATATCTCAGTACTGGGTTTTTTCCAATTTAAAAATAAACATATATATTAAACAAATAGAAATAAGAAGTAAGTATATTATAGTATATTCAAAAATGAAAAAATATGTGCATATATATATATATATGCATACATATATGCATATATATATGCATATATATATATGCGTGCATATAATGCATATATATATGCGTGCATATATGCATATATATATTTTTATGTGTATATATATATGCATATTTATATATATATATGCATATATATATGTGAATATATATATGCATATTTATATATACTGTATGCATATATATATATATATATATATATATATATATATATGCGTGCATATATGCATATATATATGCGTGCATATATGTGTGTGTCTGTATATATTTATAAACTGTATATTATTTTCCATCATTTAATGGACAATGGAGTATTTGTACTTTTTTAATATATACCATCAAACATATGTTCATATATAAAGTGGGTAACTATACAAAACGAAGTGAGATAACTGTTTATGAATATCTGTTCAATTTTATGTAAACTTGTGTAACTCATGAAAGATAAATGAGTGTTTCAATAAAACTATTACATATAAAAATGTATAGTGCAGTTTTTGTTTTCATTGCAATATATTTTTTTTATATGTATCAATATATAGCCATACATGGTCCATGCATATATTGCAATATATTTAAAAATATAAGGACTACTTTCCCATATATGGAAATGTATGATCCAGTATATTGTATTATATTTACCAATATATTACAATATATTTTTGTTTCATAAGGGACAGCACACACACAGTATATGTTTTCACGCAGACAAGGTAAAACATGCAGATTTGTGACTAAAACGCCAAATTACGAATTGTCAATGAAACATAACCATCCTTTAACACCAACATGGTGGCAGCAGTGGTACATTTGGATGCCTCTCAGATGGAGACGCTCTCAGCCAGTTGTCTTGTGTCTGACGAAGAAGTCTGAGACATTGAGTCTGGCTCTCAGTGGAGGATTAGCTCAGTGGTGGGAAACTTGATGATTTGTATTGTCCTGATCAGCTGCTCATATCTCTTCCTGTGTTATAGCTAGAACCTGAAAAGAGACTTTTTATTTGATAAATCAGGGCTCAACTCACAGATGAGTGAAACTACAGGAGGAGCATCGAGCAGGTTTTTAAAGTGCTGATTGCAGCGTAAGAGTTCCTTTATGCCAGAATTAGACACACACTCATTAATGTTCCTGTGATATTCCTATGAAGTGGGTCTGGGGTATTCATTAATACATTTATAGTTAGCCCATTTATGGTATATTTACATTTGTTATGATGTTAGTTTGTATTTCCATTTATAGTATTCGCATGATCCTTTCATATTCTGGCAAAAAAGTGATTATTACAAATATTTTTCCCCAGTGGCTCGAGATATTCAGCAAACATCCTGATTTTAAAGGAATGTTGAAGTCCATTAAAAGCGCTATATTGAACTTTATAGTGTCTGTATACATCCGTTTGTCCAGGCTTACAGTTATAGGTTTATATTGGATAAAGCAGTACGGTTAGAAAGCTTTGATAAAGTTTACCCTCATATTTATCTAAACAGCCTTTCCCCCCTCAGGTCAAACTGGGAACTTACAGGACATTTTCATGCAGTGTGTACACATAGGTTATATGTAGCTTCAGGAGGGAGCACCTGCTGAGCCTAATTGCTGCGGTAGGGGGTCTGTGTGTGTGTGTGTGTGTGTGTGTGTGTGTGTGTGTGTGTGTGTGTGTGTGTGTGTGTGTGTGTGTGTGTGTGTGTGTGTGTGTGTGTGTGTGTGTGTGTGTGTGTGTGTGTGCGTGTGTGTGTGTGTGTGTGTGTGTGTGTGTGTGTGGTTACAGCGGTGTTCCACAGGGTACCGCCCTCAGCCCTGTGGGGTCCCGGCCAATAGCAATTAGCCCGCCAACAAGAGCCCTAATTAGCCCTCTTGATTGGCTCGGAGACAGCAGCACAACAACACCAGCAGCCAACACACAGAGAGGACCAAGGTGACTCCTCCAGAATGCACTGCTTTAAAGCCAGCTGTACTGTAATTAGTAAACAAGCATAGCTGTCTGTAATTGGTAAACAAGTAGTCGGGTTTGTTTGCGGTGTCATTATGAACCTGCTGGTATGTAAAGTATTTCTGTAAAAGGCTCATATGATTGAGTCTGTGTTGCTCTCTTTTCTTTCTGCTTGGTAGCATTGTCAGATCACTCAGTATTAATACATCATCCGGCTGACAGTCTGCTCTGCAATACATGCTGAGGGGGACTGAGGGGAGTCAGAAACAAGAAATAAATGAGTTAATGGAGAAGGGTGAAAGAAGTGTGAGAGGCAGGAGCGAGATGTAGCGTGAGAATCACATTATTTAATCATAGAAACACCTGCTGGCTGCTGCTGTGATAGAAATAACAATCATTCCTTTATTTCTATACACTGAATTTATTTTTTCTTCTGTTTCTTTCACAGTCTAAATGTAAAGCTATCCCATGATGCAAAATGTGTCCCCAGCACCTGCAGTGACAATGATGGCCACCCAGAGCGTTCCTCCACCATCGTACCAGGAGAGCCAACAGGTCAGAGCTTTATCAGACTCTACATCAATGCTTGAATACCAACTCAATCTCCAGAGTAAATAAATGTTAAAGGCCCAAAAAGCTATTCCTCAGGTTCATTCATTGTTTAAGTCGATTTTTGTATTTGTGTAATCTGTGCTCTGTTCATGGGATCTCATTGTGCGCCAATCAGATTCATCAATTTATGAATTTCATCTTGGGACAATTCAAACGTTTAGGCTGATTAGCATTCAGTGTTTAAACCTTATAAATAATGACTTTAACATAATTTGTTGCCTATTTAGTCATTTATTCACATATTTGTTAATGCTACAGGCATTACCTTAAATGTTAAATGTCTTCATAATCAGTATAGCATAAAAATATCGCCCAATGTTTCATAGTACCGGTAGATACTTTTTATTTTGTTAAATTATTATTATTCATTTTTTTTATCATTATTTTCATTCTGACATCAAAACAAATACAACTCGTGGTTTTCCCTTTGGGTTCTGTTAACACCCACTTTTTTCACATTAACTAATGATTAATGTGTTGAAATATTGTTAATAAATAAAATACCAATAACAGAAATCCAAATAGATTACTCACAATATGTTGGATTTTTGAGGTTTGGTGCTGTGTAAAACCATTGTTAACTCACAGAGCAAATGAACATCCATTGTATGTAACCTTGTTATACAGCTCAGGTCTCACAGATCCCAAGTGTAAGTCTCTATAGGAATATAACAATGATTTTTCATGAGGTTGAATTATATTTAATAATTAAGACATAAGTGATACATACTGTATGTCAAAGTGTGAGAATAAGAGGTCGGGCCCCAGCGTGCGGTGTTAAATACACACGTGATGCCCCCCACAGGTCAGTGAGCTGAATGTAGTGTACCTGTGGCAGGATGAGGCTGTGTGTAGCACTGCAGACTCCCCCCCCCCCCTCCTCGTCCACACCACCTCTGTCTGTTCGCCCAGAGGATTAGTGCCATGGGAGAGCTCCGAGTTGCAGTCTGTGCGCTCGGTAAATGCAAATGAGAGCTAGTTAAGTGTGAAGAAGCTAATTTATTTCCCATTTGGTGCTGGGATTAAGACTTGAAGCTTCCTCCCACCCCACCCGACTCAAAAAAAGAAATGCGTGGGGGTTGTAAGACTCATTTCCTCAGAGAGAACAAATGATAGACAAAAGTGGGGTGGAAAATAATAAAGAAGACAACGGATGGTGTTCGTGAAGCATGTCACCCCCCCCCCCGCAGCACAAATAACACCAACAGACACTCTGATGGTTCTGTGCTTCTTCAGACCAAATGTGGCTTCAGCTGTGGCCAGTTGTGAACACACATGCTAAGTTGCTAACAACTAATTGAATATTTATAATTGAATAACAATATATTGAATGTATATATTACCTAAGATTGTTCAATTATTAAATCTATCCTATCTGGGCTATTTTGCTTACCGGCTTCATTACAAGCTACATTACTGACAATGATTCATTACAGCTACATCCTCATTGGTAGTCCGTCGGCATAGGATGCATGGTGCACCTTATAGCTTATGAAAAGTGATTCAAATATGACTCAAACCCAACAAGCAGCTGCATTTTTTTCTATTTAGATGATTCATATTGACAGGAATACATAAATAGATACATTAATTGACATTCGTTCTTGATTACTTTCTTTAAATGTATGTTTCCATTTCGTTCTATATTGGTTCAGACTTAAATATCACACAGACTATAGATGGCTCGCCATGAAAGATGCTCTGATATCCTAACCTTTAGTATTCAAACAAGTTGCAAACGAATGATCCCCCTCAGGCTCCATTGTACTTTTGTTAAGTGTTAAGTAACAAATGAATGCATGTTAACTTAAGATGGGGGACATGGTAAATGATAAACCTGAGAAATGATAACAGGCTAGCTGTGTCATGGCCATGGATTTATAAAGAGAACTTGATACAGCGTCGGAGGTGAGGTCCGGTTCATTCTGACAGGCGGTACCGCAGCATCCGGACTAAAACCACCAGACTCAGGGACAGCTTCATCCCACAGGCCAGAAGACTGATACCTGAACTTTTGAAACAACATCCATAACATTAATCTGGCTGCTACTTAGAAATTATTTATCTAATATATCATATTCCAATAACCTGTAGACTCTTATTGCACTATTTCACTATTTCACTTTTTACTATTTTTCTTTTTGTATTTACTATTTACTTGCACTATTTGTTTCAGTTGTATTGTGTTGCACTACACTGTAGCTATGTTCGTATACTTACTGTTTAAGTTTTTCCGTACTGTGAAGTTAATAAAAAATAAGAAAAAGAAGAAGAAATACAATAGTCTGATTTACACAGTTGTCTCTCTGTGAGCATTTAGCTCAATCCACTGAAGTGTCTACATACAGCCTCGTGACCAGTATGGGGCTAATTGTTTTTCTTACGTACTGAGGACTGAAGCAAACATTATTTCACCCTCCTCAGTTTAAACTCTTAATCTAAAGACCAATATGAAAACAATGTGAGCAGTGAAAAAAAGAGTTGAAGGGTTAAATCATCTTGGTGTGGTTTCTGTGTCCTCAGATGACAGGCACCACTCAGCAGAACACCAAGACCCCACAGGTGCACATCCCAGCAGCCTCTGCAGCAGGAAACACCTCCGTCAGCGTGACCCTCGACCCCCAGGCCCAGCTGGAGTCTGACAAGAGGGCCGTCTACAGGTCGGTGCAATCTCCCATGAGGGCTTCATGTGTTTATTGGTCTGTTTGAGGTGAACAATGGAACCATGAAACAAAATGTTGTCTTTCAACTGGTAATCCCTTTACCTTGTGAAAAATAATTGTGACTAGTTGTCTAGTTTGGTAATGTGCACCATTGTGCCCTCAAGTTTTCCTTCACTTTTTCATTTGAAATATTATATTTTCTCTTTATCCCCATGCAGGCTTTGGCAAATTGTCCCAAATTGACTTGATGTGCTTCTTGGCCACAAAAACAAGTGTTGCTTAAATATGTTGCATCTAACTAACCATGACTTAAAAGCTTCTGGAAATCAGACTTGAAGGGTGCCTGCTTGAATGTTCTCTTAGTGTTGTTCATAAAGCAAAGAGCACCTTCAGTACATGCTTTCACTCATCAGAGGCGAGCAGGAGCACCCTCATTTCCTGTACTTTGAATGTATTACATTTCTCTGAGTGACAACCTGTGCAGTGTATTCTGGGATAGGGATTACCACTCTCTTAGGGTGAGTAAATTGAACAGTTATTTCAATTTTCACCCCTGTTTATTGAAGGCAGTGTGGAATTTCTCAGAATAATCCTCATGCAGTATCAGTGCCTTTAAGTACTTTCAGAACAATGTGTAGCATGCTCTGATTAAAAGCATGGGGAAATGTTCTCTGATCATTTTCACACTGTGTAGATAAGCCTTTTGTGTTTTTTGTCTTTTGTCACCCTTATTTTAGGATGTTTACAGATCGCCCTACAGACATTGGTTCCAAATTATATTTGTACTACCCATGTAGAAGCCCTTGAAGGCACCACCTTCTGAGGTGTAGAAAATAAGCAAGAAAATCACTGCTGGGTGAAACCAAACACTAGTAAAAAACACCTCACTCCTCTCTCAGCGTATCACTAGAATATTGATGCATCCTTATAATGAGCTTGTATTATCTATTTATGAAGTAAATTATTCAAAATACAGACATTTTTTATCGAGCCAGTGTAGGAAGCAAATCAACAGCTTACTACATTTGTTGAGTGGAAAGAGACACGAGCTGTCCTGCTGCAGCCGTCCCGTAGTGATGACACCACAGACTATGGTGGGTGTGTCCCTGCTCCTCTGGCCCCCCCGCAGGTCTCTACCACTGCTGTGTGAGGAGGAGCAGGCCCCCCCCGCTCAGGCCCCCCCGCTCAGGCCTGAGGCGAGCTGCCGTAAAGTCCCATCAGCTCCTCTGAGATCCATGCTGCCTTTGATGTGAGCAGCCATGTCTGCAGCAGCTCCGGGTGCTAGTGTGTGTGTGCACGTGCGTGCGTGCGTGCGTATGTATGTGTGTGTCTCTGGATCTTTCCTTCTCATCCTTCCCCATCCCAACACAGGAAAGCAAGAACAGCGGAGAGAATATATTATGTTCTTAGTGCTAATGACTTTATTAGCTGCTTGATTGGAGTGCCTGTATACGGATCTGAGCATCCTCTCATTGGTGTGTTAATGAATGTAAAACTGTTTAAACATGCACAGTAGAAGAGGACTGTGTGGTGTGCGGTGGAAGAATTGAGCTTCAACACACAGGAGGACAACACACACATGTACAGTATGAGATGAGATGAGAAGAAAGGCCTCACCCTCATGTGTCAGTCAGTCCGGACAAGGTTAGCTTAGCTTCGGAATCAGAATACCTTTATTAGCTTAGCATCTACACTGAAAGCAAACAGCTAGCCATGCCTCGTCCTGAGTATAATGAAAATATCATCTAAAGATGACTTTTTAGATGATATTATAAATGTTAAATCCAAATCATTTGTCTAATCAAAACAAAAATAACAATTGATGTCAGGCAAATGGCTGCCCTCCAGCATCTCTGCTTCTTACATCATTTGTTACGGATCGACTGTAGATAATATCACCAATAGCGATCTTGTATATACCGATACACATTACATTGTATTATCTTTTTATAACTTTTTCAATATCATTGTCAACATTATTTTCAATATCATGCTCAATTTTACTTTTCTATTTGAATTTACTTTTATTGTTATTCGTTCAAGCACTGGAGCTAATATATAATATAAAAAAATAAATAACGTAACGTAAGTAACATAACGGCAGCAGTTTAACTGAATTAAGCTCCTATTTATTTTGACTGGATTCCCAATGATTTACATTTCAAAGACAGACCCTTCTGTATGTCCAAGTTATTATTATTTTTCTGAATAACCTCAGCATACCCTGCTTTTCTTGAACTCTGTTAGCACTAATATATCAATTAGAAAATTCATTCATTCTCACTCCAGCTCTGCAGGAAGGATTGATTACATTACATGACATTACATTGCATTTAGCTGACGCATTCAGTGCATTCGACCAAGAAGATACAAACTTGAAGAAAACAGAATCATATAAGTACATCAGGTTTCATAGAGCCAAAACATTTCAAGTGCTACTCAACTAGCTTTAGATAAGCCAGTCCTTTGTCAGTAAGTGCTTTGTTAGTAATTGTATTGCTCGAAGTAGAGTCGAAAGAGATGAGTTTTCAGTCTGCACCAGAAGATGTGTAAGCTTTCTGCTGTCCTGATGTCAATGGGCAGCTCATTCCACCATTTTGGAGCCAGGATAGCAAACCCACGTGTTTTTGCTGATGGGAACTTGGGTCCCCCTCGCAGTGCGGGTGCAGCGAGCCGTTTGGCCGATGCAGAGCGGAGTGCACGTGCTGGGGTGTATGGTTTAACCATGTCCTGGATGTAGGAAGGGCCAGATCCATTCACAGCATGGTACGCTAGTACCAGTGTCTTGAAGTGGATTCTAGCAGTTACAGGAAGCCAGTGAGGGAGCGGAGGAGCGGTGTGGTGTGGGAACATTTAGGAAGGTTGAAGACCAGACGAGCTGCTGCATTCTGGATGAGCTGCAGAGGTCGGATGGCACATGCAGGTAGACCAGCCAGGAGGGAGTTGCAGTAGTCTAGGCGTGAGATGACGAGAGCCTGGACCAGAACCTGCGTCGCTTTCTGGGTCAGGAGGGGACGTATCCTCCTGATGTTGTAAAGAGTGTATCTGCAGCAGCGGGTTGTAGCAGCGATGTTTGCAGTGAAGGACAGTTTGTTATCTAGGGTCACACCCAGATTCCTTGCAGTCTTAGTCGGGGAAACAACAGAGGGGCCGAAGTTGATTGTTAAGTCAAGAGTGGGACACTCTTTTCCTGGAAGAAAAAGCAGTTCAGTCTTGTCAAGGTTGAGCTTGAGGTGGTGAGCAGACATCCACTGAGAGATGTCTGCTAGACAAGCAGAGATACGTGCGACGACCTGGGTCTCTGAGCGGGGAAAAGACTAAATTAATTGAGTGTCGTCAGCGTAGCAGTGGTATGAAAAACCATGCGGGCTAATGACTGATCCGAGCGAGTTTGTGTACAGAGAGAAGAGGAGGGGACCGAGGACAGAGCCCTTGGTGAAATTGATGTTTCACTTCTTACTTCGCAATCCATCACATTTTCCAAAATTGGATGAATCCTTTTAAACCCTTTGATATTAAGCGGTGAAACTCTGATACATATTCCCCAAATAGTATATTTGCAAATATAACTGATGTACTATATGGTTAATTTGTCTGCATATAACATTGAACTACCTTTACAAAAAGATGGAGGTCCAGCTATGAGTTTTTGCATTAACAGAAAAATGAGTTTACAACAGAGAACATTTAAACAACTTACTTTCAGTACAGATTATTATTGGGCTCATCCCTTCTAAAACACTATCAGATAGTTCAATTATTAGTTATTTTTACGGAATTGCTGAAAGAGGTTATCCCACAATTTAGCTATTAATTAAATAGTTCCAGGATCCACATTGTTTTTGTTTAACAGGCTAGCTGCATATTACCAGTGTCTTTATGTGACACCACAGGATGAAAGTGAAACAAAATGCAACTGGAGTTACTTAGTGGTTAAATGGAGCTATGGAGAGTGTGTAAGTGTGTGTGATGGCCAATTAAAATGTTGTGATCAACAGTGTCAGAGGCAGTGCTGAGGCTCCAGCAGCATGTGCTGTTAAATGATGATTATTTTTTAGCTCTTAAATAAAATCCTTGCTGTTACGTACCCAGAGGAGGCAGAGCAGATTAGAATTTTTGGAATTATTTCTGCCTTTGCCAGGAGATAATGACTAAACTCACCTTGTTACCTTGCTATAAACGCAATTAAATTTGACTTCACAAGTCACTGTCTCCCACAGTGAGTCACATTATGCAAAAAACACAAATAGCACTCTTATTTTAATAGAAGTCTGATGTGCCAGTGTTCCTGCCTTTACACAGCGCTCACATGGGGGCTGTAGACTTTGAAAAAGAAAAGCTCGGAGAATCAGCAGCTCTGCCATTTTTCCTTAATTATTTTGCTCGGGATGTCTGTGTGGGCTTTAATGTTTCTTTTCACTAATTGCTGGAATGCCAACTTTCTGAGGAGATGTGTGGTTTCCTCTCTGTCTCTCTGCCTACTTTGTTATTAGCAGCAGAGTAAATGTATGATTGGGTAATTAGCCTAATGAGTTGTGGCATTTGACTATAAAGATCCTTCTGGATTTTCTGCATCTCATTGAAAAGCTTGTGAGGCTTCTTGTGTTTTAGGTTGTGAGTGAAGCTCTCTGATGGAGAAACATCATAATAGTCTTTTTTATTTAAAACAGAAATGTCCTTGTGATGCTGAGAAAACTGTGGTAGAACACTCTGTTTTAAGGTCACACTTTAATATCCGCCATTTGTTGGAAATAACTGATCCCTCGCTTTACATGTAGAGAAATGAGGGAATCAATGATAGCCAGCAAGATGATACTAACCAGTAATAATAATAATATATATAACATAATCCAACAGACAGCAATACCCAGGGTTGGGAGGGTTACTTTAAAATGGATTCCTTTACAAATACCTGAATATCTATCCATCTATAAATATCTAAATATAAAAGTAATGTAAATGGATAACTTTGGATTACCTCAATATCAAATGAATTG